GGGAAGCGCGTGGCTATGACATAAAGGGTAGTGCTGAATGGGGGCGTGAAGGCAATGAGCTGTGCCTCAGTGCTAGCAGCGCGGTAGCTTGTCTCAAGCGCGCAGAGGTGCGTGGCAAAGTCGGCAATAGTGGGGAAGGACGCAAGATCAGGGAATAGCATGTGAAGTATCAGGCGACCAGCAGAGGTAGTGGCGGGGGTAGAATAGCGCGCAATGACAGCATCTAAGAAGGTCTGGGCGTTTGCTACAGTGGTAAAGCGAGGACGCTCAGACAGCGGGAGCGCACTGTTGGTGCAACCCTATGGCTTGCACTCGGCTTGTCGTCCTTGCTTGTGTGTGTGCATGCATGGCATGGAATGAATTGTGAGTCTATGTCATTGCTATCCAGTGCTTGTGTGTGTGTTTGAATGGTGTATCACAATGTGGTTTGTGTCGGTCAAGACATTAGCGAGTTTTTACAACTCGCATGTCAAGTCGTCGTTTGCGTGTCGCATGTGTTATTTCTATTTTGTCGAGTGTGAAGTGTCCATCGTGTCGCAGGTGTGTGCAGCAAGCCCCCATCAACTCAAGAAGAATTTATCTTGCAGAACCAAGACCAAGAGCTCAAGATTTCAAGCCCAAGGGACGCGGATAAATATTAAATAGTGAAAATAGTAACGTTACTTCGTGTAGTGTTACATTTCACTTGGTGTAGCCCCTTGGAGGGTTGGTTTCGAGACTCTTCATGGTTGGGGACTCTCTGGTAGTGTAACACCAACCTGGACCTCGGCTCTTGGGGTATGTAGAGGCTGGGAACCATCTCCCTCTCGAACTCTTCTTGCTAAGTTTGTACTTCCAAGACTATAGTGGCTGCTATACCTCCTGCCAGTCAAACCGCCATAGCGTCGTCAAATCTTCATGGAATTTAATGATTCAACTTGCTGCTGATAAACGACAGCAACGCGCTCCAAATCCAATTTACAGATCACCGTTTGATTCAGCGACCAGATCGTTATCAATATTTGAAGCCGTCTGACGGAAATCCGACTGTGCTGGAGGCAGAGAAGACGTCCAAGCACAAGGTCAACACCAAGATCCACCCGTTGCTCCAGTTCAACCTAGCCTTGGACCCTCTAGGGATGAGCCTAGAGTGTTTGGCCTTGACAAGTTCAACGGTGACAACTTTGCTGAGTGGTCCTTCAAGATGGAGAACATCTTTGACCACTATGATCTGCTGGAGGTGATGGAAGGAACGGAGAAGCGCCCCGAGAACGACCCGGAGAAGAGCCCGTGGGTGCGGAAGAGCGCACAAGGCTACCTTCTACTTGGGCAAGCGTTGGGGAGCAGCCAAATCCGTCACATCAAGCCTTTTCAGCGTGAACCAGCAAAGGGACCAAAGGCATGGGCTGCTCTCAAGGGTGTACACGCTCCTGCAACAGCGGCGATGGCTGTGGTTTTGGAGCGGCAAATGGCGGCACTTCGAATTGACGAAGGCGAACCGGTGGAGGAAGGAGTGCAGAAATTCTTCGACTTGTTGACACGGCTCGAAGGAGCTGACCTGAACTATAGTGACCTTCAAAAGAAGACCAAGCTGCTGGCCTTACTTCCAGACTCATGGTCCTCGCTCATCATCAACCTTAATCGAGATCTGCCCCGTCTCTCACTCGAAGATGTGAAGCGGGAAATCTTACAAGAAGATTTCCGCCGTCGCGAATTGGCGGGTTCCGATGGTGCTGGAGTTGCAAGCATGGGCCGTGGGCACGGCCGTGGAAGGGGCAGAGGGCGAGGAGGAATATTTGGCAGCAGCTACTTCAATGGAGGCCGTGGTAATGGAGGATATGGCAGCAACAGCAACAACAATGGCTACGTGCGTGGGCGCGGTCGATTTGATGGTGAATGCCACTTTTGCCACAAGACCGGCCACATGTGGAGAGATTGCTACAGATTGCCTGATGGATGGACCCCTTCTCAAGGCCAAGAGGGCAGAGGAGCAAGGGGAGGAAGAGGCAGAGGTCGTGGAGGCCGTGGTGGTCGTGGAAGCGAAGCGGCAAGCATGAAAGGTGGAGACTATGACAAGGACTCGAGTGAAGATCGATACCCGGGCCAATTCTTCTTTGTCTCCACGCAAGCGGCAGCTGCAGCAGGAGGTGTGGAAGGCTTTGAGGAGCCAGCTACTGTGGGAAAGGTCACCCTTCACTCTCTGGACTTTTGGGTGATCGATAGCGGCGCCACCTATAGCATGACACCTCGTCCGGACTTACTCACCGAACTCGAACCGTTGCCGGTCAAGCATGTTACATCGGCTTTGGGGCAGCGAGCAGAGGTGAAAGGCATGGGCAAGGCCATGTTCAAGGGTGCTGATGGGAAGATGGTGGGCCTCAAGAACGTGCTTTTGGTGCCCAACCTAGCAGCCAACCTGATTTCCGTTCGGCGTTTGCAAAAGGCCGGCATGGACACATCTTCCAAGGGATCCAAAACCTATACCGCAAGGCTTGGTGAGCGGAAGCTTTGGGACCTTCATGAGGACAGGGACATCTACAATGAGATGTGGCAAATCCCAGTCGTCCCCATGCCTAAAGAGAGGCAAGTGGCAGCAAGCGTCAGCACCAAGCGTGAAGCGGTTGGTGGTGGTGATCACAGAAAGCAACGTGACACCAAGAGTGACTCGTAGGAGTGCAACCTTGGAGAGACCAGCAAGGCGCGTGAACCCAAGGAGAATGGTGCAGCAGCCAAAGGTGGTGGAAATGAGGAGGAGAAGGCTAAGATCAGCAAAGCAGCAGTGGCGAAGGAGAAAGGAGAGAGCTTGTGGGGCACAATTGCGAGTGCCGCTTTCTCCAACCCGACTTCCGCTACGGGAGAGTGTGATTGGCTGACCTTGCATCGGCGAATGGGGCATGTGGCATTGCCCATTTTGCAGCAGATTGTTAAGCAAGAGATGGTCAGTGGGATACATGTCAAGGGGGAGCCCAATGAGGTGCTTGGCTCTCCAACATGCATGCAAGCCAAGTTCACCCGCTACCCGTTCCATAGCTCGGAGACAACGGCGAAGGCACCACTTGATGAGGTGGTGATGGATGTGGTGGGCCCCTTGAAGCTTGGAGCTGCTGGAGCAGAGTACTTCCTCACCATTGTGGACGTCTACACTCGCATGACCTGGGTGTATGTGCTGCCCAAGAAGAGTGACGTAGCTGAAACGGTGAAGACCGATTGGTTGCCGATGGTGGAGCGGCAACAAGACCGACTTGTGAAGGCGATTCGCACTGACCGTGGGGGAGAGTTCCTGAGCAAGGACTTCTCAACTTGGCTGAAGAAGCAGGGCATAAGGCACTCTCTTACCATGCCCTACTCTCCTGCAATGAACGGCATCGCCGAGCGTGCGAATCGGACACTCACGGAGACGGCTCGGGGACTTCTCATTGAAGCCGGTCTACCCAATTACTTTTGGCCGGATGCGGTGCGGCATGCTTGTGTGGCCAAGAACAGAGCCTTGACTCATGTGGGAGAAGACAAATGGGTGCCCTATGTGGAGTGGATTGGAAGGAAGCCAAATGTGGATATGCTTCGGGTGTTTGGGTGCATGTGCATGGCACTTGTGCCTAAGAAACTTCGGCACAACAAGCTTGATGCCAAGGCAACATGAGTCGTGCACCTGGGCATGGCTCAAAACAGCAAGGGATGGCTTCTATGGGACCCATTTACCAAGATGTTCCTGGTGAGCAGAGATTGCAAGTTCATGGAGAACTTACCGTACAAGGAGTGGAAGGCGGAGAACCAAGCGAAGATTGGTGTGCGGCTTGGAGAGGTGAAGAGTACCGGCTTGGAGCATGTGGAGCTGCCCTTGGAGCTGAGTAGCAGCAGCACTATCACAAGGCAATCTTCTCAAATGAACGGGGTAGAAGAGGAGGAGGAGGTGCAGCAAGGTGATGAGCGTGCACCGTCACTTCCGCCTCGTGCTACAAGTGCTCGTGGAAACCGACCAGATTTACCGCAACGCCATGAGAGCATTCAAGTCCCTGCAGCAGAGGAGGAAGGAAGGGGGAGAAGGAGGACCCAGCCCCTCAATAGGTTGAGCTATGAACGGCTTGGAGGACCAGCCAACTCAACCTTGACCGGTTCGGCTCTCATGCTAGGTGATGATGCGGAAGATGAAAGCGAGGAGTGCGCCTTTGCCTTCTTCTCTCCGGTGGAGATACCGGGGGAGCCTACAAATCCCAAGGAGGCTTGGGAGGGCCCCAATGGGAAGGAGTGGAAGAAGGCCTCAGATGAAGAAATGGGGAGCATCATCGAGAACAACACGTTTGACTTGGTGAACCTACCTCCGGGGTGTAAGGCGATTACTTCCAAGTGGCTCTTCAAGCGCAAGACCGACGCCGACGGCAACATTGAGCGCTACAAGAGCAGAATTGTAGCCAAGGGGTATTAGCAGCAAGAGAAGAAGAACTACAATGAAGTGTATGCCCCTGTGGTGAAGGGTACAACCCTTCGAACCCTCTTCGCCGCGGCGGCCATCAAGGGATGGGTGGTGAAGCAAATGGATATAGTAACGGCCTTCCTCAACGGCGTTTTGGAGGAAGAGACCTACATGGAGCAGCCAGAGGGGTACAATGATGGGAGTGGCAGAGTGTGGAAGCTGAAGAAAGCACTCTATGGCCTCAAGCAAGCCCCTAGGCAATGGTACATCAAGCTGCGGGAAGTCTTGGAGGCGATCGGCTTCACTCCCTCAACGGCCGATCAATCCTTGTTCATGCTTGGCGAGGGGGAGCAGAGGAGCTTCATGGTGGTTTATGTGGATGACATCCTCATATTCTCACCCTCCTCTGACCTTGTGAAGGAGGTGATGCTGAAGCTTCAAGACAAGTTCAAGTGCAAGACCCTTGGTGACGTCAACTACTACCTTGGGCTTCACATTGAGCGAGATGTGGAGAAGCGGTGGATGCGAGTGCATCAAAAGAAGTACTTGGAGGCCTTGGCTGCAAACTTTGGGAAGAGTGAACGTCATGTGGCTACTCCTCTACCCTCAGGGTTCAAGTGTGTGAAAGGACCAGCGGAGGAAAGTGTTGGTGAAGAGGAGAGGCGCCGTTTTCAGTCCTTGGTGGGCAGCCTCATGTATGCGGCCGTTCACACAAGGCCGGATGCAGCCTTTGCTACCGGGCAGCTGGCTAGGGTTGTCCAATGCCCTAATGAGGAGCAGGTAGCAGCTGGAGAGAGGGTGGCCAAGCACCTTGGCCAAACAGCAACTGTTGGACTGCAATACTCCGCGGCGGCACAAAGGCGTCAAAAGGGTGCGGATGGATTCGAACCCGGGAGGCTCTTTCTCACCGCCTTCTCTGATGCATCTTGGGCATCAGAACCAGAGGACATGACAAGTGTGGGAGGTTTCATCTGCTATGTTGGTGGAGGCCCAAACAGCTTGGGAGAGCAAGAAGCAAGTGGACCAAGAATTGAGCTCGGTGGAGTCCGAGTACATGGCACTCTTCCGTGCCATAAGAGAAGTTGTGTGGCAGCGGCGTTTGCTAGCTGAATTGGGGGAGGAGCAGCAAGGACCTACCCCACTCTATTGTGATAGCCAGGGTGCTATTGCATTGGCTAAGAACCACGTTCTTCATGGCCTTACCAAGCACATGAAGGTGAAGTGGCATTGGGTGAGGAGCAAGGTAACCGCAGGTAAAGTGGAGTTGCACTACGTGAAGACGACGGCGCAGCCTGCTGATATGATGACCAAGAGGCTGGTTGAGCAGCAGCATTAGAAGTGTTGCAAGCTTGCTGGGATGGCTCTGAACTAAGGGGAGCAGATTCTAAGGCCAACAATCCGAGGGGGAGTTTGTTGGTGCAACCCTATGGCTTGCACTCGGCTTGTCGTCCTTGCTTGTGTGTGTGCATGCATGGCATGGAATGAATTGTGAGTCTATGTCATTGCTATCCAGTGCTTGTGTGTGTGTTTGAATGGTGTATCACAATGTGGTTTGTGTCGGTCAAGACATTAGCGAGTTTTTACAACTCGCATGTAAAGTCGTCGTTTGCGTGTCGCATGTGTTATTTCTATTTTGTCGAGTGTGAAGTGTCCATCGTGTCGCAGGTGTGTGCAGCAAGCCCCATCAACTCAAGAAGAATTTATCTTGCAGAACCAAGACCAAGAGCTCAAGATTTCAAGCCCAAGGGACGCGGATAAATATTAAATAGTGAAAATAGTAATG